CTCTGTCGCTCTCTCTTGTTCTCTCTCTCTCTATCTCTCTTCCTCTCCTTCTCTCTCCCTCTCCCCATGTATTCCCCAAGCAGTGCTTGCATGTAGGGAGCATGACTTCTTGTCTAGGGAACTGGAACTGCGCGACGGTCTGGCGGCTATGTGGCCGCCGTCGCAGCCCCGTCGCCGCCTCGTCGCCGCCCGTCGTCTGGGCCTGCGCGGCAGTCTGGCGGCTATGTGGCCACCGTCGCCGCCACGTCGCAGCCTCGTCGCCGCCCGTGGCGCACACCACATATATTGCACGACCTGGTTTACACCACATATTTTGCACCACACAGCTTAAGCGAAATAGATTGCACCACATTGTTTACACCACATTGATTTGCTCATCCTCCTCATCTTCCTCATCCTCCTCTTCCTCCTCTTCCTCCTCGCGCGCACCTTCCGAATCCTCTTCATCGTCATTCCCCATTCTCCCCCCCTCCACATGTTCCTCGTAAGCGTGCTCTTCTTCTTCTTCGTTTCCACAGCTAGCGCCCTAAGCGTTTCCCTCGGTGGTGCTCCCCGTTTCCAGGGTTGATGACACCTTTGTTTCCGGGGTGGGTACCACCGTTTCCTGGGTTTTGCTCGATTCCCTGGGTGAAGGTGCATCTCATGGTTACCCCACAAAGCTTACACCTACACGGTGCAATAGCTTACGGTTTGGGATTCACGCTGGTGGACGTGTACACATAATATACATATACAGCGATAATTGTATAGACCATGGCTGAGAACTCGCTTGAACCATCCTGTATACGCTTCGATGCTGTGCTGGCACGGTTACAGGGCTTGCCAGAAGCAACTGGATAAAGTGCCGATGCGCCAATGCATACGCGTACACGCACTGTGCATAGATACGCATCTAGCTACGAATGGCGACATGGTCACGGTGGCCCTTACCTCGAGGTCGTCGCAACGCTGTGGCCTGTAGCATCGCAATGATCGCGATCTCATCGCAATGTAAGTGTTGCGAGTCATCGCCGACCGATCGCAATGTGAACCGCGCGGACCTCCGCGCACCCACGGAGCCCCCGCGAAACGCTGAGCCGACGACGCGTAGGTCGGATACAGCCAGCGCGTGCCCTGACCGTTCATACACAGCAGGGTGATATATCCGGCGATACTTCCTCGGGCAGGGACAAGGCACGGAGACGACTGCCTCTCTCTCCTCCATTTCCGCCCCTCTTTCCCTCCTCACCCCTCGCCCTCCTTACCGCTCCCTCACTCAGTCGTCGCCGCCGCTCACCGAGCAGAAGATCCAGAGGAGATCTCGACACGTGCGTGCGAGAAACAACCTCACAGAACCCCGACGTGCTCTTGTCAACACTGGGTCCACGGACCCCTGGACCCCCTTCCAAGGGGGACGGCTTTCCGTCCCAGATCGCCACCTGACGGCCCTGGGGCACAGAAGCGGCCTGCAGACGCCGAAACTGGCGAAACAGAACCAGGCGCTTGCTTTCTCTTGACTTTCAGGGTCTGGGCTGCCCGTGCGAGCTGCGTGGCCGTGCGGCCATGGCGCCGCGTCGCCCCGAGGGCCAACGGGCGGGCGAAGAACGACATATAAGATAAACTGTTTCGCGATCGGGGGCGCCTGTCCCAGAGCGACTGGAAGTGTAGACCCCTACGGCGGTTCCAGCCGCCCTGGGACAGGCGCCCCCGATCCAGGAATACATGATGGTTGTGCTTTACGTTGCTGTATACATGCATAAAGAAGAATATGTCGCCCGCTAAGGCCCGCCACGAGGGCGCTCGCGGAGCGTGCCAGGCGCCAAGCCTGCCGCAGTCTGTATTGCCGCGGGCGAACGAAAATTGTCAGCGGCAGAGGATAATCCTGGGCCGAAGATGGGTGTGCGTGCGTCCCCCTGGACAACTCACAAGAGGGTATGCACAGATACTGGACCCAGGATCGGCCTGGCTGGGATGGCAGAGAAGGTGGCAGAGATGCAAGGGACAGGACGTACCGTCGAGTCCTCGTACTTTTCAGCGCACAGCTGAGACAGGCGACGCACGGCTCAGGAACGTTAGAGATCCTATCCAAGCAAGGACAATATCGCTGACAGTGGTCTCATATGCCAAAGCCCAGCAGCGGCTCAACGCTCCCGTGGCCCACAATTGCCTTTTTCAGTGTACAAGTGATGGAGAGAGGCATGAATTCACTAGCAACTGGAATGCGCTCACATACGGCGGGCTCGTGTTGTGTCGATTTGGCGTTGGTTTCTGACACCGTGCGGATGGCTCGACCTTGAAAGATCGCGGCCTTCCTGATCGCGGGGATCGTTCGATGATAGCAGATTTAGAGGCCTCCTAGATGGGGTCGCGCCGCATCGGCGATACATCGGCGGTGCATCGGCCTTGCATCGCCAATGCATTGGCGTTGCATTGGCGACGTCGGCGATGCATCGGCGCCGTCGGCGTGAAGAAAATCGGCTCCACATCGAGCCGCATCGTCGATGCATCGGCGATGCGGCGCGATCCTCCGGCCCCATCTAGTCGGACCCCATCCAGAAGGCCTAGAACATCGTCGGCCACCCGGGGAATTCAACCTTGAACGTCCATGCTGGGCTACCGTTAGGTCGGGCATGTCCTCCTACAGGCTGATGTTGTAGGAAAGCCGAAAAAAACCAAAAGTATCCCAGTGCGACCCTGCCTAGGAGTTGGAGCTTCTAGGAAAGCAACATTAGTAGGAACGGTAAACGCCGTCCTGGGCAATGCTATGCTGGGCTAGGCTAGGCTAGGCTAGGCTAGGCTAGGCTAGGCTAGGCTAGGCTATGCTATGCTGCGCTATGCTATGCTGCGCTATGCTATGCTATGCTATGCTATGCTATGCTTTTGCTGTGCCTTCGCTTTTGCCTTCACTTGTGCCTTTGCTTGTGCTTTTGCTTGGCACCCAGGGAGCGCAACTCGGGGAACCGCGCGTTTGCTGTTACCTTTGCTGCTGCTTTTGCTTGGCTCCCAGGGGACTGGGGGAACCGCCAGGGGCGGTTTCCACTGCCTGGCCCCGTTTAAGCCAACAGAGTAAGAACCCTTCTGGGCAGAGCCTAGGTAGGGAACAACAGAATGTTGGAAAATCGTCCCTGCAATATCTTTGGACTGCTCTTGCACATGTCTCCTGCAATACACCCTGCGAAATGCTTAAGAAATCATGGGTTAAGAAATTCATAGTCTCAGAACTTGAATAAAAAAACAACATTTCCATTAAAATCTTAAGATTTATATTGAAACGGTAAGAATAATCGAGACTCTGGCCGAAAACGTAAGTTTTCTTAAGCATCGCCTAGAGTGTACATGCTGTTGGGGGCACCGCTGCGTCGACACAGCACGAGCCTGCCGCGAACGGGCGCGAAGCACCCGCGCGCGCGGGCCGATCACGGCCGTGGGTATCGCGAGACGTTACCAAAAAAAACAGGCTCGAGGAGGAGGAGAAGGAGGAAAAGGAGGAGGAGAGAGAGGACGAGGAGGAGCAGGAAGGAGGAGGAGGACGAGGAGCAGAAAGAGGAGGAGGAGCAGGAGGAGGAGAAACACGAGGAGGGGGAAGAAAAAGAGGAGGAGGGAAACGACAAGGGGGAGGAGGCGGAGGAGGAGAAGGAGCAGAAAGAGGAGGATGAGGAGGAGGAGGAGCAGGAGCAAGAGAAGGAAGAGGAGAACGAGAAGGAGGAGGAGGAAGAGCAGGAAGAGGAGGAGGAGGAGGCGGAGGAGGAGGGAGAACGAGAGAGGAGGAGGAAGGAAAAGGAGGAGGAGAAGGAAAGAGGAGGAGGAGGAGGAGAGGAAGGAGGAGGAGGAGGAGCGAGACGAGGAGGAAGAGGAGGAGAGAGCATAGGGGAGGAGAGGGAACGGAAGCAGAAGAAGAGGAGGGAGGAGACGAGAAGGAGGAGGAGGAGCAGCAGAACGAGGAGGAGGGGAAGGAGCAGGAGGAGGAGGAGGAAGAGGAGGAGGAGCAGCAGGAAGAAGAGGAGAAGGAGAACGAGAAGGGGGAGGAGGAGCAGCAAGAAGAGTAGGAGCAGGAAGAGGAGGATGAGGAGGAGGAGGAGGAGGAGGAGGACAAGAAGGCTGAGGAGGATGAAGAGGAGGATGAGGAGGATGAGGATGAGGAGGATGAGGATGAGGAAAACAAGAAGGCGGATGAGGAGGATGAGGATGAGGATGAGGAGGAAGAGGAGGATGAGGAGGAGGAGGAGCAGAAAGAACAGGAGGCGGAGGA